TGTGGCACGGGGGAAGCCCCTCCGCGGTCCCTGCCCTGCCGTGGGTCACACCAAGCCCTGCGTGTGCACACGCGTGGCTGTGGTCAGACACGGGGAGGGCGTGTTTGTCAGCCTGTGTGGCTGTGCTCACACACGCGTGTCTGTTCACACATATGTGTAGCCATTATCATACACAGAGCCATGATTGTACACACGCATGGCTGTGCTCACACACACGTGTGTCTGTGTTCATACACATGCAGCCATTAGCACACACACAGAGCCATGATTGTACACATGCATGGCTGTGCTCACACACGCGTGTGTCTGTTCATACACACATGTAGCCATTCTCATACACAGAGCTGTGGTTGTACACACGTGACTGTGCTCACACACACACGCACAGAGTACATACATGTGTACACATGTACATACACGTGTAGCCATTCTCATACACAGTCATGGCTGTGCTCACACATGTGTTCATGTACATACATGGGTAGCCATTCTCATACACAGAGCCATGGTTGTACACGCATGGCTGTGCTCACACACGTGTCTGTGTTCATACACACGTGTAGCCATTCTCATACACAGAGCCATGGTTGTACACACACATGGCTGTCTCACACACACGTGTGTCTGTGTTCATACACGCCTGTAGCCATTCTCATACAGAGCCATGGTTGTACACATGTATGGCTGTCTCACACACGTGTGTCTGTGTTCATACATGCATGTAGCCATTCTCATACACAGAGCTGTGGTTGTACACATGTGACTGTGCTCACACACACGTGTTCATGTACATACAGGTATAGCCATTCTCATACGCAGAGTCATGGCTGTGCTCACACATGTGTTCATGTATATACATGTGTAGCCATTCTCATACACAGAACCAGGGTTGTACACACATGATTGTGCTCACACACATGTGTTTGTGTACATACACATGTGTAGCCATTCTCATACAGAGCCATGGTTGTACATGCATGGCTGTGCTCACACACGTGTGTCTGTGTTCATACACACGTGTAGCCATTAGCACACACACACAGAGCCGTGGTTGTACACACACATGGCTGTCTCACACACACGTCTGGTTGTACATGCATGTGGCTGTGCTCACACACACACACGGCTGTGGCTGTACACATGCATGGCTGTGCTTGCACACACACGGCT